CGATATACTGAGAACTACTTTATGCCACCTACACAAAGAAGGACAAATATTAAATAGACAGTTCTGCATTAAAAGATCTGCAATTAAGAAACAACAGAATGAACCTGATTATGGTTTGAATAATTGAAATGAAGCAATAATTAGCCAAAGAGTATTCTCCTCTCTACAGCTCAAATTTTGTCTTTATTGCATTAAAATTGAATTATTTTTTTTCCTGTTTTCATATACTGAACAATAAGTCAATATTGTTATTATTGTGATAGGCTTAGTGCCTCTTTGTAATAGCCCTTTTCACTGCAATTCATTTTTACTTACTTTTGTGTGTCTTACCTATAGGTGGCAGTAGTGGACACCCCAGACTGGTTTAACACAGAGAAGAGCCCAGAAGAGGTGCGAGCCCAGATCACGTCGTGTGTCACTCTGTCAAGTCCGGGACCACATGCCTTTCTTATGTGTGTCCCTGTGGATCAACCTGCCAAAATTGAACTGCAGGCTCTGCGAGCTCTGGGCAGTGTTTTCGGCACAGACGCTGTTCAGAAACACACTATAGCAATCTTTACATTTTCAGACCGACTCAGGGACAGCGGAAAAGCTAAAGGCAAAGGCACTGAAGCATACATTTCTAGTGAGAGGCCGGATTTGTTAAAATTGGTGGAGAAGTGTACAGATAGGTTTCATATTATGGAGAGAGATACACGTACAGGTGCGAGCAATGTGGCCGAGCTGCTGGAGATGGTAGATCAGACAGTTAAAGAAGCAGGGGGACAGTACTTCTCCTCACCTGCTTTTCAGGAGGCAGAGGACAAAGTGAGGCAAAGGCAGCTTGAGATAGCCAGAGAGCAGAGAGGATTAAAGCAAGAATCCTACAAACAAGAAGACTTGAGGCTGCTTAACTCCGAAAGACGACGCACTTTCTCCTATATGCAGCCCCTTGAGGAAGAGGACATGACTGAAGAGATGGAGAAAATGAGGGAGGAAGCTGAGATGAGTGTTAGTACAATGAATATCGAAAGCCTTCCTCCAGTTTTACTCTCTAACTTTTCCCCATCAATGCTGCAGTACGTCAGAGATAAGATGGAGTCAGGTATGAAAACATTACCAGGCTTGTTGTCAGATGGTTCCACGTGGGTCACTAAAGGAGCTGAGTCTCTGAGGAGTAGTCCAATGTGGGGGAAAGTAGGGAGCAGTGCACAAAGTGTTCAGAAAATGCTTGCGGATAGTTCTGTGTGGGAACAAGTAGGAGCAAGAAAAGAGCAGATTTCCAAAGCAGTTGGAGGTAAAATTCCCAAAGTGGTAGTAGACGGATCTGCATGGGTGGGCTCAGGGGCAAAAGCAGCAGCTGCCAGTCCAGTCTGGAGCAAAGTAGGTTCTGGGGCCAAAACCGGGGCCCAGTTAGTAGCAAAGAACTCAGTGCGACTTGGATCTGAACTTGGGACTGGAGCAAAGAACCTGGCTCAAAGTCCTGTATGGGGAAAAATGGGTTCAGGGGTTAAATCTGGTGCCCAAATGGTGGTTGAAAGTCCCGTGTGGGGAAAGATGGGGTCCGGAGCCAAAGCAGGGGCCCAAATGGTAGCCAAAAGTCCAGTGTGGGAGAAAATAGGGGAGACTGCTAAACAGGTGCCAAAGGTGGTGATTGCAGGAGCTGTGCTAGGACTAGTGCTTGGTGTGTTCCTTGGAGGTGTGTTAGGAGGCGCTATAGGGGCAGGGGCTGGATCTGCACTAAGTGAAGTGGGCAGACGCAAGTTACAAAATAAAAGAACTCTGGAAAATTCACAAATTAGAAATGTGGATAGAAATGTAAGCAACGCTGTCGACTCTCTGGTAAAAAGTGGTGAGAAAGTGTTCAAACAAGAATAAATAAATTTTCTTTGCGCTTTTGTACACAACTATTTTCAACAGAATTAACAGTGTAATAGTATGACAATGGTGGCTATTTTATGTTGGATAACCCCTTATTGATTTGCACAAAATCTATTTATATCATTAAATACGTTGTAAATATTTCTCTTTGTGTTGCACAACAGCTTTACTTGAAATAAATAACTATATTACAGTCATACTTCTCAGTGTCAAATGTTTTAATAATTCATAATTTGTAATAATGAAACTCGTTATTGTGTCCCAACATTTTTTTTACTGACTAACTTAAATTCATAGATCATGTTTAAACTGATCTGTGTTTGTGTGTCTGTTTGTGTGCGTGTATGCGCGTGTGTGTATTTGCCAGTGGGTGGTGCAAAGTGGCAAAGACCTGCTACAGAATTTGGCGGGGGTGCCAAGTGTTTGGCAAGGCTTTATCTTGGGCTCCCAGGCTGGTCACCATCAGCCCATTTGGCCTCTTTTATTATATGACAAATAGGTGGAACACCCTGGCCCCATAATCTTTTTTGGAGTATTTTCTGATGCACTTTTCAATCAAATTGAGTGATTATTTTGCACATTTTGTTGACCCCATCCCCTTGTGTAATCTGTGGTTTTACTGAGGAGCACATAGACCGGACAGTCATGAAGGTATTGTGAAACCCCTCTTCCTGTTTTGTGGTGCAGAGGTTTTGGGTGCATCCTGGTGCCTTGTGTCTTTACTCCTCCTGATTCTGCCAGTGCCCGTTGGCCATCAGTGAGAGACAGCAACCGTAAAGCCCTCCAGCCCTGTACATGATGTATAACCACATCCCATCCACCATGACAGCCACATACATACGGTTACATAAATCATCAGATCCATACAACCCACCCACAGAGTTTGGGGGCATCTACAATCCTGGTCAGTGCTATTCAGTTTCATTTATTTGTTCTCACTTTGGATTTTTTTTTATAATATTAATCTGTCATTAGATTTTATTGCAAACAGAAGGTCATTGTTTTGGAGTGTTCAGCTATTTGGTTTGCTATGTGAGTTTAGCTTACTTACTCACATAGATTTATTCACTGTTGCCTAATAGTGAAACTGCAAACTCTTGTGCTTAGACTTAAGAAGGATTGCTGACATAGAGCATTCTTATTGGAGCACAATAAGAGGATGTCAAATAAGGAACAGCAAACTCGAACATTTTATTTCTGTCTGGTGCAAGTGTGTTTGCTAGTTTGAAAAGCAACATACAGATTTGTCTTTGCTGATAATGTCACACATGCATTCTATTATTTATAAAATAGTATTCACCACAATGCCAAAACTCACTTCATTTATTTTGTCAAAGTGGTTTGAATACATCTACTGGTGCTGACGTTTTCCTATCATGCCATGCCTACTCCTAAAAGTTACAAATTACTATCAAATATTTTTATTACATGCTTAAATTATTGCACTGTTTAAAACTCCAGTGGTTTCTAACATTAAGATTCTTGTACCCTCCACTGTATACATGCTGTGTCCTGTCCGTGTCACCGCTCATCATTTGTAGAGGGCACCAACCTCATCTGACCTTTAACCTTTGTCAAAACGCTGTGGTTCACCAAAGAGCTTTTGCCCCCAAAGCTTTCCTCACTGTCGGTATCTCCATAGCAACTGGAGGATGTTGGAGAGTTGGGCATAGCGATGATGGAGTCTGTGGAGTCCCTGTGAGCTGTCGTTAAGTTGGGTGGGTCTGAGGGCAGAGAGGCTGAGTGAGGAGTGCATGGGCTGCTCATTTTGTTAGAGTCCTGTCCTAGTACCACTGTCCCATCCTCTGTCCTGCCCCCCTCGCTCCCGTCCTGAGCCTGGTCGTTGAGCAGCGCCACCAGGAAGTGGATGTATTTGACAGCCAGACGCAGGATCTCATTCTTACTGAGCTTCTTGTCTGGAGGATGTGTTGGGATGAGTTTCCTCAGCTCTGAAAAGGCTCCATTCACATTTTGCTGCCTCCAACGCTCACGACTGTTAGTAAAGACACGCCGAGCTAACTTCTGTGGAGGGCCTGCTAAAACACAGAACAAATATAGTCAGGGCCAATTCAGTTTTGACATTAAATTTATTTTATAATTTCATCAATGACATAACAGGTCTATAAATGTTATCAGTTGTGTTTGTTTTGTTGTGGTCATTGGTTTCATGCATATACATGTATATATAAGACTATGATACATTATATTGATACTAACATTCACTTATTTCAACCTCATAGTGTGAGGAAGGCCGTCTCCTCCGGCTGTTGGCGATGACCCCAAAACTTCCTCCTGAAGGCCCAAAGTAAGTGCTAGACAAGAAAACGTGCACACTGTTATACAGGGCATCTGACACAGAATTTAAAAATAATCACTTGAAAATATGAACATGGTGTAGTATTTAAGAATATATATGTGTTATTATTGTTATATTAGATGTTTCTGCATAGAAAGAATTGTTTTAAGGTTTTTAAAACACACACATGTTTGAAAGCCTGAACTCTAACCCATGTGTGACAGCTTCCCCTTCATCAATCATATTCTACAACAATTCTCAGAAAAATTATTCATAATCATAATCATGCAATATTTGACTTTCTGTATAGTTGTTACACAATTCTGAGTAAAAACAAAAAAGTGGTATTTTAAATTACATGTAATGAAACGTTTGTATGAACAAAACGTAAAACATAATTCATGATTTGTCAGATTTTTCCTGGTTTTCCTCACTTTCATGCCTCACTAATAAAGTAATAAATGACAGAGCCTAATCAGCCTCTAATTACAGTACATACAAATGATTTTATATTGTGTAGCATTTGTTTTCTTGTATATTAAATAGAGATCAGGGTTTACCTGGTGAAGAAGCTGTGCATAGGTGTGTACTGCTGAGGCATCAAAGCTCCAGGTGACCCCCCCGGACCCCCAATACCGAGCCCGGCGCCCTGTGCTCGCCGAGGGTCTGTCTGCAGGTTTGGCAGCAGGTTGGGGATGGGGTGCAGAGTAGTCAGAGGCAGAGGAGGCTTACTGTGTCCCAGGCTGATCACTGGGATGTGAGGAGGAAGAGGAGACGAGGATGACGAAGGCAGCTCAGGCCGCAGTGAGGAAGCTTTAACTGGAGCAGGGAGCAGGGGCGGTGGAGAGGATCGTGTCCCATTTGGAGTATCGAGAGAGTTTGTCCTCAACTCTGGTCTCTCCTCTTCTTTAGCCTCCATGACAGTGGCTGTGTCTGTGCGTTGTTGGGTCAGTTGTGCGTCAGTTGAGACTTGATCTTGATTTTGTGTGTTCTTTGCAGGTTGGGGGCTGATGGGGTCTGACTGAGTTGACATCTCAGTGTGGGATGGACTACGCCCCCCTGATGTGGGCGAGGGGCAGGGCAGGTCAGGGGGAGATGCTGCACGTTCTTTCTCCATCATGATTTTTCATATACACATGGTGAGTGTAGAAATCATATCGCTGTGTTATGCCTTTGACAGTCACTGAAAACCGGCCAGAGCTGCAATGATGTTCACAATGTCTGTGTTACTCAATATTTAATCATGTCCATCCGATTAAAAAATTACATACACAAGTTTACCCACTGCTCCGTTGGTGTAGTATCACATTGTCAGTACATTATCTGAATCATGTCCTTTGCCTTTTCATCTTTAGAAACGATAGATTCCGTGTTCTTGTTGAGTTGTCTTTTTCCGGATGGGTTTTTATAGAGTCCAGAGCTTGTTATCCTCCAGTGTTGGTTATTAGTCCGAGTCCAGGCAATAATTCCAAATTTTTCCAAAATTCCCAGGATTTACGTCAAAGTATCTGCTGAATACAAGAAAGAATAAATCTGATTAGATGATCTTCATAAACTGAAGTACATATATTTATTTGAAATTTTAGTTTGTGTCCCAAAATAATTCCAAATTACATAAGCTATTAAATGACGTTACACAGTATTTCTTCCTCCGTTTAAGCACTAATTTTCCACGTATATAATACTATGCATTGTACAGATCTTCTACCAGCCACTGTAATTTTTTCATGGAAGTATCAACCTCTCAGTCTTAAAGGTTTTGCAATCAGCTTTGTTCCTGTTCTGTCTGTCTTAGTTTTATTTTCAATAGTTCCTCCTTTTATCAGTCGTAAATGGTACTGTATTATAAGAACTACTAATATGGCATAGTATATTATTAATATAAAAAATGCCCTGTGCGATTTGATATAGCATTTGCATCATCTTCATAATTAATCTCATAAAAAGTCTTAATATTTTGTATTTTGAATGCCTTTTTTTAATACCTAATATATAATTTTTAAAAAAGGAGTTTGTGGCTATGCATAGTGTAAAAAATATTCTGAAATAACCTTACTGTAAATGGCATTATGTGAAGGGCATGTGAAACAACAGCCTACTGTATAACGTTGGTGTATTTAATGAAAATGTACTTACTTCATTGTGGTGGTATCCAGTGTAGTCTGTGTCAGGTTGTGTGGGATCGCGTTGCTCAGGTCTGGTCTTGTTTTCAGTCTTGGTGTTTGCTGTTGTCCACAGGTCGTCCCCTCTCCTCTGCAGCCTGTCCCCTCTGACGTCCTCTGAGGTCACCCACCAGCCACAATGTCCCACCGCAAATGACACTCTCAAATGTGTTTGACTGGTAGACTGGCTGACACCAAGATTCAAACCGCGGAGCTTTTGGGGTTGTGAAGTTGCCTGTTTGAGCAAAGACACAGAGGAACAGCCGTACCGTCCCTTCTCTCCATATGTCATCTTCACCTCTCTTCCTCTAACTCTCCGTTTTAACTTTCCTGTCTGTGCTTTGTGCCACTCTGCTGGCCAGAAAGGCACCAGGCTTTAGAGGACTGCCAGTCGCTCGGCTCAGCTCTGGCAAACGTGAGGCTGGAGAGAGTGTGGAGAGGGAGGGAAGGGGCTGTGGGGAGAGTTTTCCGCTCCTGCTGGACAAGAGGATGTGCTCGTACAATGTGGTGGCTGCTGATAAGAGCCTCAAAAGCTGCCTGTGGGCCGTAGATAAGCAACCTGCGCCACCCCCCCTCCCCCCTGCGCCAATACCAGCACACACACAGGTTCATATACGTGTACACTTCATACATCACACACCAGGCTGCTGGTCACTCACTCCAAAACGATCTGGACTCTTTCCAAAAAATATCTACTAATTTCAAAATACAGAAGACTTGATGAACACTTGTATACTGTGCATGTGAGCACAGACACAATAGCTCGTACCATAATCAACAAAATGATGCCTAAATAGTTTCTCATGTAAGATTGTTGTAGTAATTTCCTATTTTTGTCTATGAACAATAACTGTGTACATTTCACTCATAATTATAATAATATGACCTTACATTTGTATTGAGTTGAACAGGCTTAACAAGCCTCTCAAAGCACTATACACTCTGTCATTATAGCCACAGCTGCCACTCACTCTCATACACCACAATATTTCTTATTTAAAGTTGGCAAAAGCCCAGTGCATGCTGTCATTTCAAATCAAACCAAACTTAGGGTTTGTTGGTAAACTCACAATTTTAACAGTTTGATGTGGAATAATTTATAGTTATAGTAATTTCTTATACTTTTTGTTATTTGCTTTATTTGACTCAAGATTTAAGGTAAACACAAACGCACTTTGTGAAGACAGCTTGAACACAGTGTCAGTATGTTTTATTGTAATTTCATTGCAATTTACAGTAATAATATTTCCTGTTTCTCTTTGCTCTTCTTAAAGGCCTGAGTGGTTGTCACTCTTCATCGTGTAACACCTGTGCCAGAGTCGACCCTCTCTCTGCTGGAGCCGCTGTAACCTTGGTAACTTTCCTCAACAGGAGCTCGTGTCCTTCCTTCCCTGAACTCATGGATGAGTGTATTTCTTTCCTTCTTTCTCAGTGGTGCTGTCTGTGGTCAGGGTCACCTCTTATGCCCCTCTTAGTCATTTCCCTCTTAGACAGTCTCTAATACAAACATGAAACCTTTACAGGCGTTTGACCTTCAGGGTCCTGGGAAAGATCGAAAGCTGTGCTTCACCACTGCCCAACAAATCTCTCAGCACCTTCATCATCATATAGGACCAGCCCCACTCCTCTCAGTGATTGTCTATGGAAACAATAGGCTGCAGAGGTGTAGTGAGGTGTGATGTGCAGCTGTGGTCATACATGATCACACAGTGGCACCGCGGGCCCTGCACAGGTGCTGTCATTTGCCTGTAACATTTAGAGAGCTACACAAGGGACTGTGAGATCTTTTAGGGGTTTATTTCACCATCAATATCCAATCATTAGTTCTTTCAATAATATATAGCAGCTACTGAGAGCTAAAACAGTCCACAACAAGGAGACTTTATTATGCATCCTTCTGTCTTATTAAGTAATTAATGGGTAGGCTATAAGTGCACGTACGTCATAATGTAAGAGATTTCACACTTCTTAAGGGGCCCTGTGGCTAACTTCCTTCAGCTCATGTAAACACTATTGTGTTCACACCGATAGGCATCAATGCAGCCTAATTGTTTAAGACAATATTTGCAGTGTATATTATGGAGAAAGTGACAAACAATGCAGCCAGCGGCGCTCACATCGAACGCTCACATGTCCCTTTGGAGTGAACCAGTGGTGTCCGTGTCAGATTATATCATCACCAAAATCCATGTACAAATGTATGTTGGTTTCATTTAAAGGTTCTCTATTATACAAAAATGACTGATGTCAGTGTTTAGCCATGTCAGAATATTGTTACCTCCTCAAAAACATACACAGAGTTATGTTTTGTTTGATTCATACATATTTGGGTAATCCTGCATTATTAGTCTGTCTACATCTCCAAAGCTCAAAATGCTCTGTGCCACCTTATGGGGTCATGAAGCAGTAGTTTTCAAGTTAACAGCTCCTTTTACCTTTTGTTCAGTAATAACACTCCATTCCAAGGCTGAAATTAACCAAAATGATTCTAATGAAGCTTATGAAGTTTAAAAACACACTTCCTGTATTACCACATGACATCACAAGGTGAAATAGAGTGTTTTCAGTGTGAGAGAAGAACACAGCACAGATATACAGGTTTGAGTGCTAAACATTTGTAAATGAAGCAAAATACTCTAGGTAGGTTAGATCGGAAAATAGCATAATATGGGCTCTTTAAATGTATTAAGAGCAGTGTCAAAAAGAGCAGTCTAATTATACAGTTTCTTTACAGTGTATGCTTCAGGTCATCTTCATATGAAACAGGTGTGCAATATTTAAACTTATCAGTGTGTAAAGTTCTTGGTGGTCCAGATTACTGTAACACCAATGTACAGTGTCAAATGCATGGTATGGTCGCACATAGCTTCATTCCCAGGATGCACCTGGGCTGGGGCGAGTGGCCGGATACTGGGGACAGCTGCTTCCTGTGCACACTTCCTGGTTTGGCAGAAGAGAGTTGGGAGGGTTTAAGGGGGGAAAGTGGCGGGCCATGGATAGATCAGACCTATGTGATTTTCCAAATAAGATACTGTATAATGTAGCACAGAAACAGGTGTGAGGACTCAGCTCAGCATTTTAACATTTGGTATTGAACTAAATATATTAATATATTTGAAATGAATAATTTATCAAGATATTAAATCCTGCAATTCAAAATGAAAATAAAAGAATCAAATAAATAATAATATAAATATATATATATATATATATATATATATATATATATATATATATATATATATATATATATATATATATATATATAAAGAAAAAAAGAGTTATAAAGATGAGGAAAATAGTATAAGAGCAAGCCACAATGATCTAGTTTCTAGTTATAATGAGTTGATAATTATTTTTGGGGAAATCGGCAAGTGAATAAAGAATAAATTAACTGTGCAGAGTTTGCATGTTTCTCTCTGCGTCTGAGTGGGTTTCTTCTGGGCATTCTGGTTTCCCCCATCAACCCAAAACATGCTCTATAGGTAAAATCCCTCCATCTTAGGGCTGACTAACCTAGCTCTAGATCAGGAGTGAGTCCCCAGGGGGCACTGTACTGTGCTCCCACTGGTCCAGGTGGTTGTTGGTGGCATTATTGAAGATTTATTGGTATTATTTTAGATTTATGATAAGTAACATTTCATTCTTTTGCCATGCAAAAGCCTCTGTGCTTCAGGGTGACCGTGTGGAACAGAATTCACATACATACATTCGTCTCACATTCATACTTATCATTAGTTCTGCGCTGATCCACATCCCCTCACGTGTGTAAAAGTATATATGTGGTATTTGTGTGTGTATATGTGTGTGCATGTGTGTGCGTGATCAGCCTGTTGTCATCCCTCACTGTCGTCATAGGAAACTAAGCATCACTTTCCCTTCTCACAGTGCATGTTAAAATAAGGCACTATTTGTACCTTACATCCTTAAAAGCACATCGGGCTTTTTGCTAAACTAATATTGTGTATTGTTTAAACTGTGTAAATAGTTTGTCAGTGTGAATATTCTCAATTGTCCATTGATTGTTCTGTTCTTCTTCTATGTGCTTAATTCTCTTTGCCTCTAGGTGGAGACATGGATGTAGACTCAATTAAAAGTCCTTACACAAAATTGACTCTTGAGAGCTTTACACCACATTAAAAACACTTGAGTTGTGTTTTATTCACATGTTTGAGTAATTCTTTAATATTAGTCCATCTAAATGGTCACATTTTTCTATAGCGCTTTTCCACCTTCAAGGCACTCAAAGCCCTTTACAACAAGGAACCACTCACCTATTCACTCACACACCAGTGTACACAGACACTGTGGGCAAGGTGGGTTAAGTGTCTTGCCCAAGGACACAACGACAGCATTCATCTGTGGGAGCTGGAATCACACCAGCCAACCTGTGGGTCAGTGGATCTGACCACTCAACCTGTGATGTTTTATGTCGAGAGCTGCAATCGAACTGCCAACCTTCAGATCAGAGGGCGAATGCTCTACCAACTGAGCTCTACATCTCCAAAGCTCAAAACGCTCTCTTCCACCTAGTGATGTCACCTAGTGGTAGTTTGCTGGTTAACAGCTTCCTTTTACCTTTTGTTTAGTAGAGATTGCCAATTCCTGGGCTGAAATTATCCAAATGATTCTAGGGAAGGTGTGTGAAGGTTAAAAACACAGTGAAGCATGACATCACAAGGTGGAATGTTGTCTTCCATTTCAGAGAAGAACACAGTCTAAAAATGTCGGGTTTTTGTGTCATGTGAATGAAAGAAACTAAAGCTCCATGTGTTTTTGATAAAGCAACAATATTATAAATGGTATAATATGGGCCCTTTCAATGCAAACTTTAGACCTCTAGTGATCAATGTTTAGAGGCTGTTGCTCAAAAGTGGCTCCAAGATGTTGAGAGAAAAAGTTCTGGAAGAGGGTATATAATAGAGTGTATATATAATGTGTGATCAAATGATTGCTGTGCCAATACAGATTTTTGTTTTGAGTGAGGGTTTTCTATCAACCCATATTTTAAAATGAAAATGAACTAGACTGAGATGTGCTCACAAAAAAAAAACTCATCTAACTCTGGGTGCAGCCTTCAGTAACGGCCCTCACCTGCATTTAGAGTCTTCATGAGCCTTATTTAGAGGCAAGCTAGATAGACTTCTCTCCCTATTCTCCTCCGATGAAGTAATATTTGTCACTGAATACATGATTCTGAAAAACAACACACTGGCCATAAGATAATAAACAAAGGCTGAAATGAGAGAAATATTTAATTTGAAAAACATGCAACAAGCTACATGCATCTTCAGAATAGACAAATTAATTCACAATTACACAAACCAAAACAAGGTTTCAACATCATGCAATGCAAATATCCAACTTCAGTCAAAAGAAAAAACAATAACTTATACATTTATAATAGAACAGAATCACTGAACCCCAGAGGTACAGGATCGAGTTTTTTGTCACCACATTTACAAAACATTACCATTCGTGAGATATTGTGAGAAACTGATTTAAATTTTTTTCCCTTTTACAATGTTTCTATTCAATAAAACATTTTATTAGACTAGATACATGTTAAAGTAATAATTACTGTTCATGGCATATAGTCGGTAGTATTAATAAGTATTTTAACAGTTGAATAAATAGAGTAGTCTGTCAGATAGTGGGTCTCCTCTGTGCAGAGGTCAGCCTCACAAAGTGCCCACATTTGCTGCAGCGTGAGACAGAGTTACCATCTTTCTTTGGGATATTCCAGCAGTTTATGCAGCGCACTCTGTACTTCTTATACCTAACAAAAAGAAAGCTACAATTAGCCTATTTAATTTTCTATATGCAAAATAATATCTAATCAGAAGCAGACTGAGCTTCACATGAGTTATTTGGGTTTCAATGCTGAAATCCAGTTGGTCCAGCTCGTGCTGAGTGCTCTAAGTGAATTCTGGAGCTTTCACATGAGGCATGATCTTTCCTAGAGTAAATTTCCTCACCAAATGTTTCTGATCAATAAACTAAATTTACACATTTCCTTTGTGTCCTGCTGTGTCTCAGCACATGTTGTGTTTAGAAATCTGCATGGTTGAGGTAATGAAGCTTAATGAAATGTATTAAATAGGCTAAACCGCTTTTAAGCTCAAGTAGAGGCGTACCTTATCCCACAGGCATTGCAGAGTGGGGTACCGTCTTCGGCGTCTCTCCACATGGGGGTTTTCTTTGTGCAGCAGGATGCACACACTTTGTCTTCTAATAACACAAAAATCCAAATGCTTAAAATTCATAAACACTTGTGTAATAACGCCCTCTGCTGGGGAGTACATGATACTTAGAAGTAGAATAATTGTGTGCATATTTCCTTGAACATTGTCTCATGGCCATGTCACTATTTGGATGTGTGCCTTCACTTACTGGCTTCACTAGACGCTGAGTCACTGTCCTCAGAGCTGGTCTTAAGAGACTTCTGGGACATTCTTGTTCTTACCCTTGTCCTCTTTACACTCTTGGGGAGATCTGTGCTGTGTCAGCATAAACAACAGCATAAACACAACTGCTGTGTTTTAGATGATCACAACTTTCAATAATTAACACAGATGAATGTTGTTAAAATGGAGGTTCTAGGCTCCAGTCACCAACAGAAATGACCAGGTTTAGCATTTGTGAAATTACATTGTATTTCATGCCAAATATCTAAAAGGTAATCAATAGGAAAAAAGCCCCCCTTGTCCCCGTTCTGGGAGTCTGGCATCACCACATTGCATGATCTGTAAACCAATCATTAAAACATTTTAAGCTGCTGTGCTAATACCTGTATTGTGATGTGATGCGGAGTCGGCACTGCTCCCTGGTGTCATCCAGCTCCGTGTCCATCCGAAATGTGACACCCTGGAAGTCGGGGTCCAGCACAGAGGCGCTCCGACTGGGCCGAGACTGTTTCCTCCTTTTTGACCTCCAGAGAGTGCACTGATCCTCACACTCTGTACCAGTGCGTGTTTCTACAGATGTAAGCTCAGCAGAGGTTTTGTCACCTTGTTCCACAGGATGAGGTGCTGGGACCTTCTCTGTGGAGTCCTCACACATGGAGGCAGTGTTCACTTTAATATGTGGTGGTTGCTGTTCAAGTGAACTGCAAACCTGAGAGTAAAACTGAGTGTCAGCTGAGTGTAGAGGGTCATTAGGAAGTTCATCTGAATTCAAACAAATGTTGGCATTGTGATCAAGGGGCAGTAATGTCTCTGCAGCACAGTTCTCTTCATTTGGGCTGAAGGTCAGATTGTCAGTGTAGAGGGCTTTAGGAGGAGGAGGCTCTGGTAAAAAGTCATAAAACGTGTGGTGTATGGAGAGGCACTCCTTTGTCCAGTCACTGCTCAGGTCCAGACCAACACTGAACCTGAGCTCTGGTGTCTGAGGCGTGTCCGCTGTGCTTTCTACTCCCTCTGCTTTAACAGGGAACCCCAGATGAGATTTTATAGTCTCACAATCTTCTGGCCTGCAGTCTTTTTTAAGGTGAATGTCAGATTTTCTGACAGAGTTATAGTTTAAGGGTTGTGCAGTGTCCTGAGATTCCTCTGCTGGCTTAGAACAGCCAAAATCGGACAAAAACAGTAGAGAGCTGTGGCCGACTTCATGGTCTTCACTTTGGTCTAGGAGCCTCTCACATTGTAGATTAATGAGACTCAGCACCTTTAAGGGGCTTTGAACATTCTTCACCACAGCAGAGAGGGGTATGTGAGGGACGCTTTCATGACATGAGACATATTTTTTGCCAATAGATTCTGTTTCCATAAAACTGTTGTGGATTGGAGAGGTTATCTTGGACACTTCCTGGAAAAGGTAGTGAAGAGCTGACTGAGAGGCATCTTGTTTTACACTCTGGTTTTCCAGAAGTAAACTTGATTGTGTCGTTGTTCCCGTGCTCATCCTTCATTTAGCCTGGAAAAGAACATCATTTTAGTAGGTTACATTATAAAGCTCTAATTTCAAGAAGGCTATATCACTCAAAACAACAAAAACACTTGAGTATAGTTCAAATTACCATTAAATAATTGCACAAAGAAGCGATTATTTTCATAATAATAAATTACACCCCACGCAAATTTTAACAGGGCTAATGTTTGTAAAATTAAGACAATAAACATCTTAAATCTGTTTGCCCTATTTCAGACTCATTAACTCACCTTGCCAAATGTAGCAGCCCTTCAAAGATGTACGTGTTTCAAGAAATATGAAATATTTTATAATGTAGCGACTTTAAAAAGAACGTCAAAGATTTTCGCGGTCATCGAAAATGTCGCGAGCGTAGATGAGGCTACTTTGTCATTGTGAAAAACTTGAACCAAAACTACACGATACAATTATAATTTGACCACAGCGATCCACGATGCACTAAAACCAAACAACAAAAAATTTAATCTTACCAAACTTACATTATTAAATTAGGCCATACTTTACAGGTTGAGGGCACATCAACAATGAACTAAACCAATTTAACACATGCATACTATCTAAATGCTAAACTAGTTTTATTTGACAGTACTTTGGGTTTTCGTGGCAGGTAAAAATTCTCACCTTGAACTGACACGATGATCTCAAAGTCAGTAGTGAAGTTTGAGCTGAGTAGAGTCGCCCATAGGAGCTGTCATGTCCCTGCACACGTGTAGACACTTTACTGAATTACACGGCCATAGAAATCCTCCTCAAAACACCCACGATACTTGTTTTCTTTTGGTAGCACTTAGCACGTAAATAAAAAGAAAATGCTTATCTAGCCATTCATTTAAACTTCAGTCTTCAGGCATAACTCTGAGTTGAAATATAGGCCCTCGTTTTAAATAAGCATTATAATCTTAAGCACAGAGAAACACGTTTAATATTTTATTACACAACTCTTCAGATAGTTGGTTTAATAATTGTGCGTGAATGTGACATAGGCTTACAGTAGACAGTAGACAATAAAAATGACCATCATGGTAAACCACTGCAGTCAAGTAACGCTGACTTCAGGCTTTCTGAACAGCTTATCAACACCTATTTGTATAACTTTAAATAAAGACTATTTAATTGTACAAAATGGAAGCAGAGGGCACAAGGACCTGCTAAATATCACTACTCAAATGAAACACTGTCAGGTATTATTTGAGGTGGACATTAAACATGAAGAAAAGCTCAAAAAGTCAGTGTTGCATAATATAGGACCTTAAAACTCAGAGATTGTATAAAATGAATTACTTCTGAACCACCTTTTCATTATATGGCTTCAGTGATGCAAAGGTTATGCATACAACCCGTTTTGTTTTAATGCAGTGAGGTCTTGTACGTATAGTAGCTTTAAGGAGCACTGTGTAACTTTTCTGGTGGATGGTCTGTCAAATGCTTTTCTCCATGGAAATGTTATTGTTTTGTCTGGAATGTTTCAGAGTATGACAATGAACCTTTCTGAATCTTAATGGAGACCAAATCAGACCAAGTCACAGGTCACATCTGCGGAGAGGTGAACCCGCTCACTGTCAGAATACCTATTTCTCCAGGTATTTTGAGTTATAAAACCACATAAAATTGAATAAATGTAAGGTAGAGCTGTTTAATGTCATACTGTGGAACTTTCCAGGTAGATCGATGACTTATCCATAGACACAAGGTCACAGACTCTCGCCCAGTAAAGTTACTCAATGTACCTTTCACAGGGAATGTTCACAAAGTCAGATTCACAGCGTCACTTGAATTTTGTGAAAATGAGATGTAAATAGACGTTGGCTTGATTGAGAACATGTCCAATGAAACTTAAAGACTGTTTTTTAAGTAACCATTTACGTGTGCGACACCAGCTGAACTGGTCGGCTAGACTGGCATCTCCGTTAACCATTGAAATCTGCGCCCATCTTTGATCTGGCAACAGGCTGTCGACTGGCCGTATCTTCTTGTGGTCCGTCAAACCAGTGATGGCAGCAAGAGAGGACCCCATTGTATTTCATGCAGGAATGGCCATTATCAGTGAGGTTTAGGAACGTGCCCATCAACATAAAAGTTCCTGGTGACTTTGGGTAGAGTTAATTCGATACCATCCAGCTCTGGTGTGATAATTATTTGGCAACCTAGACGGGAGTTCTCCTGAAGCATGGGCGCCATATCCAGCATGTCATCCTCCCTAAAAGAGTAATATTATGTCTTAGCATAAACAATGGTGTACATGCAGCTATTATTAAAGTTAAAGTTTGTGCTTTGCTTCATTTAACACACAAATCCAGCATATTTAGTTTAGTTCTTCTCTCAGACGGAAAACACTCTTGTGATGTCTCGTGCTCCAGGAAGTGCTCTACTGTGTTTTTAAACTCAATACACCTTCACTAGAATCATGTAGATAATTTCAGCCCTCAAATTGAAACTAACTCTATTAAACTAAGACAGAGCATTCTGAGCTTTGGAGATGTAGACAGACTAATAATAAAGGGTTACTCAGAAGTGTGAATGAAAAAAAACACAACACCAGGTATGTTTTGATGGCTTAAACATGGCTTAAAGCGCACAAGAGTGAATTTGGCGTAATGTAGGACCTTTAAATGAACCACTTACCTCTCTTCAGGCTCTGGTAGTTTGTCATAATAATCAGAATTTACATAGACATGGCAGGTGGAGCAGGCCAGAGATGCTTCACATGCTCCTTGAGACAAACACAAACAACTTTTAAGCAAGGTCTTTTTAGTTATATTGATTTGTTTCACTGTTTATTTATTTACACTTACCTTCTAGATCAACACCATTCTTATGGGCCAAGTAAAGAACATTATCCCCCACTTTGGCCTTCACAGGAATCCTCTGGCCAGACCGATCTACATACACCACATTGACCCTAGAAATAAAGGAACATAACAAGAAGTTCATTGATAGTGCCATGACTTTGCAAAAATAACTGTGCGTCTTTTAGTTTTGGGGGGTGATATTGTGATATTTACACATCATGAGGGTCCTCTGCGTTGGAGCTCGCCTCGTCACTTCGATGAAGACCTGAAAAAAAACACATTACATTATGTTTACATGACTAGGCTTGTGTTGGCCATAAGATACACTAAGGATGGTGAAATACATGGGTTTATGACACAACCTTTAATTAGAACAAGTGAAAAAAGTGACTGTTATTATGACCTTATAATAACTTCCATAAAGGCTACTCTACTGTAAAGGCTACTCTGTTATTAACTGAGGGAGATAAGGCTAATGGTTAGCTGCACGCACCTATAGTTGTCCGTAAGAGTCTGTTTATTGTGCCGTGGTGGTCCAAAGAGCCCCTCCTCACTAAATGAGTCCCGCTGCCTCCACATCTGTTCAAGGTGTAAAACGGGCACGTGCTGCACACAGGTAAACCCCGAGAAAGCCTGAAAGTCAGACCCATGCTTGTCCGGACAGCTGCCGTAGCCGCCATCGTAATGTTTTTGTCACATGACCGAAAGCAACCAATTATTCATTTGCGTGGGCTTTATCTGTTTTACCTTTTAAAACCACCAGAGGGCGATATATCCCAAAGGATCCCAGTAGCCCCTTACACAGTTTACGGCATTGTTTCCCAAAGACTGAGTCGTGACCCTCAGGTGGGTCGCAAGAGATTTTATTTTTTTAATTAATTTTTTTTTTTTTTGGGTTGCCTTGTCACGATCTGCATGTAGGTCTGCAATATACAGTTCTGACACATGTTGCAATGTTAAGACATGTTTTGTATAATTTCTAATCTTTTTGTAATGCTTTTTGTATTTTATTGACTATTTTGTTCCAATATTGCTGGCTCAATTGAATGTTAAAAAGAAAAAGAAATGGGCTACATTTAATGTCAAAATAGGCGACTTATGGTTCAGTTACAGTTTTTCATTGTTTAAAACTTGAACCAATTGTTCAGAGAGACACAACACTCAGTCAACAATAAAATATCCTCATTAATGTTCAATAATGGTCAAATCTACTGCACATCACATTAAATAGAGACACACAGGTACCTGACATGATGTAAATTGGGGATAGGGTAAGCCATACAAATAAAGGAAAAATAAACAACAACACAGTGACCATAAATTCAATTCTTATAATGATACCAATAATAGAAATACCACTGTTTTTAATTTAATATTTTCTGTTCATGAACAAACCCTATCTGTTTTGTGATGCAGTGGGCCTATACAGTGATTTCTAGGTCAGCTGCATAGCCTAATCAATAATTGCCATTTCCTTTCTTTAATCTCTCATGAGTTTTAGGATAACAATGTCATTTTGTGGGTTAGCTGACCACCCTAGGCACATCAATTGCTGCACTCTATACAATTCAGCTTAATTAACACCACTGGGCTTTATATTTACTGTTTCTAGTTACACATGCATAGTTTGTGCAGCCTACGTGAGTTTACTATGTTGTGCATTAACATTATTGTGTAGCAGATTGTTTTCAAATTATAGTCTGCCCTTTTTGTTATTTACTTTTTGTATTCCCGTATATCTGTGTGCATGCACAAGCATATCCAATGTGCACTGTGCAATGTCAGGACCAATCGCTTTTGAAAGAGTGACTAATCAGAAACAGGTAAGCCCAACGGCCCGTGAGCCTTGTGAGAATCATTGTTTCCCCTCCAGACAAAAAGAAAACGTGTCGTCACCAATGTAGGTAAACAGTGCAGTCTGGGAGCTGGCTTTAAAAGATCTCAGCTTCCCTCTGTTAATCCTTTGGCATTTGCACTTTTAGACTGAGGCTACTTCAACTTTGTGAATCACATTTCTAAATACCATAACCAATTATGTGTTTAAATGTACTATATTTCACAAAATTGACTGTTGTGAGCTTTAAGTCATGTTATAATGTTGTTATCTCATTAAAAACATACCTGGAGTTGTGTTTTGTTTCATTCACACATGTCTGAGTAATCCTAGTTTATTAGTCTGTTTACATCTTCAAAGCTCAAAACACTCTGTTCCACCTTGTGATATCATGTAGTGGTAGTTTTCAAGTTAATAGCTACATTTTACCTTTATTTCAGGCAATTCCAGGGCTATCCAAGTGATTCTAATGAAGGTGCATAGAGTTTAAAAACACAATGAGCACATCCTGTATTACCACATGACATCACAAGATGGAAGAAGAACTCAGCCTAAATATGCAGGATTTGCGTCTTAAACATGTGAATGAAACAAAACAAGCATCATTGTCGTCAGTGAGTGATTTCTATCTACCCTGTGATAAATGGAGAGAGCTGCTGACTGTTGACCTTTGAACTCTGATTTAAATGAAAGCAGTAGACAGTGGTCAAAGCGCTAAGAGGTCATTTCCATACAATTTATCATGTCAACAAATACTAAACACCAAGGTACTTCTATAGTATTTCTTTCATTCAAATCGAAGTATCATTATCAGGATTAATCATTTGAAAATCCATATATTATATTGCATAAATGCATTCAAACACAACTGGACATTTTCTTTTAAAATCATGGCAGCTCTGTGATGGATAGACCCCTTAGGGACAAAAGAAAGCACAGGGCTCCATCAGTGTTGACAGAATTACAAATGGCTTTTGCACTAACCAAAATGCTCTGTATTTGTTTTAAAAATAAACCATTAAAACAATTTGTCCATATCCTCCCACTAAACTTTTAAACTTAAATAATTATTAGCTACCTGCCTGTTAGTTTTACATCGCTTTCTCTTAAGGGGTTTGGTGAAGATTTATGGCATTGCAGAGAGAGACAGCCCGCTGAGACCCAGACGCAACCCCAGTGAAACATGTAGTCTTGAGCCTGACAGCTCTCCAGGGACCAGGAGGTGCTAACTCCGCCACAAACTGGACTTTGTCTGACACCACATGACCCGAATGCAGATATTTAGTGTGGCAATAAATAATCTGTATGTCAGTATTACACATCAGAATAAAACACAAGTTCCTCTGACACATACACACAAACACACACACACATCTCCGGTCACACTTAAACACGTCCACATGGAAAACTTTTCTAAGAAGGACAGTATGCACGGGACAGCTTTGTCATGTGCTCAGAATGCATGTTTTCCTCTGTAACAATATTTATCATCAAAAGGTCCTCACTTTCCTTTCAAAAGCTGGTTAAAGTTGTTGTGTTTTGTTCATAAAATAGGATAAATGTTAAGATATATCAAGATGCACTACCAGCCAAAAGTTGGGACATGCCATCTCATTCATTGTTTTTTTTACTACTTTCTACATTTCATTTCATACACATACAGAAGACATCAAGGTGCTGCCCTACAAAGAAAAAACTAGTATCTGTTCTGACAGGTAAACTGAGAAAAATGGCTTTAAAGTTTGAATGTTTTCCCTCTTGTGTATGTTTATGATATCAATCACCATCACCACTGATTTTACCTTTGACCTCTGAGTGTACATTTAAACGACAGGAAATGAGGTGGTCTGAGAAAACATATTTGGGGAGATCTTTTAGTGCCCAAAACATTAAGCATTTTAGTTTGTGTGTTGAATAAGTTGTGAAAATGTCATGTCTGTATTTTGTCCCAATTCCGAATTATGCCTTAAAGTGTAGTAGTGACGTCTGTGAGTTCCGTGAAACTCTCCAGGAAAACAATGGAAAAGCGCCGTATCTACGTCAATTACAACAAGTCACTTTGCTTTTCCTCTGAATCACTGAAGAATCATATCAAGATAAAGTTGAGATTTAAAACTACATTTTTCCTTTGTAAGGCAGTGTGGAATCATGTAGCAAAGAAAAAAAAAGGTAACTAACTATAGTTTTTTTTTTTTTTATTTAAGTAGCCCTCTTGCTTTGTTGAAAAGTATTTAGTAGTTATTTAACTTTTATTCTTTACTACATAATCATATATATCTTGCTTCATATGTTTTCCACATGTATATAAAAAGTAGAAAGTAGTAAACATAAAGAAGAAAAAAAAAACTATGAATGAGATTGTGTCTCAACTTTTGACTGGTCATGTGTATCCCACTAATCTGCTTAAGACAAATTTATGGTAAACTTTAAACAAGACAGAAGAGACTTTGTTTGTGAAAATGCAGACACAGTACAAATGTATCTATGTGTATTACTGAAGGCAATAGGCCTGAGTAAAGCCTGTAATTGGTTGGTGATAGTTTTAATTAGTTACAGATTATTACTTGATAACTTGTTTTCATTTTTTAAATTTTTTTTTATAACAATTTATTTCACTGCATCATTTCTATAAAGTTGTATTACATAATTAAAGCTCTTGTTAGTCTAACATAACAACAAAAGTACATCCACAAATTAAAATAAAACACAAGAATGATACTTCTTCATTATAGCTTTAAATAAAATTCTTCTCCTTTTTTGTCTCTGCCTTTTTATGAACCCGTATCCCTCACTATACCACAAACACAGGTTTTGCCCAGTCAAAACAAACTTATCAGCAAAAGCATTCAGACTGACTGCACAAAAAGAGTTCAGACAAGTCTCTTGTTCACTCTGTTTACTGTAGTGCACAAAATGGTTCCACGCGCTATTCACATTTCAAACAGTGCTCTTAAACATCTGTATTTATTAGGCACCTTAGCTGTTTTATGAGTCACTGCAAGTCAGTAGTTAAATTGTTTCCCTTTGGTTAATGTGCTACAAGACTTCTACTCAAAGACTCATCTGTTCTACGGAATGTGTAAAATAATTATGATTGTCCGGCTCACAAAGTTAAAGGTGCATTTATAACTTTTCTGGTGAAGGGTTTGTCAAATGCTTTTCTCTGTGGAAATGTTATTGCTTTGTCTGGGGTGTTTCACAGTAAGGTATTAAAGCATTCTCTAGCAGTCTACATGGAGACCAAACCAGACCAAGTTACAAGTCAGATCTGTGGAGAAGTCAGAATGCCTGTTTTTATTTTTTAGAGCAGTAAAATCTGAAAAAATGTAAGGTAGAGCTGCTTACGGTCATATTGTGAAACATTCCAGGTAGAGCAATCCATAAAAACAAGCAGCTGAAAGACCCTCAGCAAGAAAAGTTACACAACGCACCTTTAAGTTTGATTTATTCTCCTTTCTGTTGGTAAATGTAAAGTGTGCTGTGGTACAGGCCATCTTGTAAGATTTTGTAAAATCTAACTGTGCTGTGATTGTCTACGATTAAAATAATACTCACTCAAAATTAAAACAAAACCTGCATTCTCCTGACAATGATTTGGTGCAAAAGAGCTCATATTACACTATATTTTGATCTCTGTTATAATGTTGTTTCCTCATCAAAAACATAACCTTTTTTTCACACATTTAACACAGAAACCCCTGCATATTTAGGCTCAGTTCTTCTCTCAAATAGAAACAACTCTGTTCCACCTTGTGATGTCATGTGGTAATACAGGATCTCCACTGGGTTTCTAAACATCATACACCTTCGCTAGAATCATTTGGATTATTTCAGACCTGGAATTACCGCCTTT